TTTGTTGCCTGACTGTTGTTGTTGGTCTGTTGTTGTTGTCGCTGTCGTTGTTGCTGTTGTTGTTGCCGTTGCTGTTGTTGTTCGTCATTTGTAAGAGCTTGGACAATTCACTTGTCCAGGCAAGAAAGCAGTCTCTCTCTATCTCTACTCTTTCTCTCTTTCTCTCTCTCTCTCTCTCTCTCTCTCTCTCTCTCTCTCTCTCTCTCTCTCTCTATCTATCTCTATCTATCTACCTCTCTCTCTTTCTATTATTCTATCTCTCCTCTCTCATCATGCATGCGTCACACTCTCATGGAATTTTCTCTTATAAGATTGCATGCTTCACACACTCTCATGTAATATTATTTCTTTCCTTTCTTCGTCCTTTTGTGAGAGCTTGGACAATCCACTTGTCCAGGCAAGAAGGCAGCAATGATTGTTCATTCTGGCGAAGTAAAAATAAAATATACCAACCAACCAACACTTGCCACCAAGGGGGCAGTTCGGCTTGACACGGCAGTTACAGGCTAGGTCAGGCTTCGGCTGTTCCAGTATACGTTTGTTATGGCCGCTGATGAATGCTGATACGTTGGCCATACACGAATAACTTATTTTCACCGTATCCAAATTGAAGAGTTTCGCCAGCCTCGAGCCTCTGGGGAAGTGCCGCTTGACGAGTCGTAGGAATGCGGCTCCTACATCCGTCTGCACGTTTCTGGAAACCATAATTATTACTTTGCATTTTCCTGTTGAGGGGATCTCCTGATGCAAATCATGCAATAGAAATAAACAGTGAGGACAATCACATGTATTACAGTATTTGCTGCATAATGAGCATTAAAAACAGGGCTAGGTTGTTCTGTACTGGATGGTGGATGTCTTGCAGACCACGGGGCTTTATGAACATAGCTTGTGTCCTTCTTGGTGTTTAAAAGTAGACCTAGATCACCCAACCAACCAGAAACACTAGTGAGTCCATCAGTCAGAGATGAGCATACGGCTTTTGCGTCACGACTAGCCCTTTCCCAAAGATGCTCGCCACTTTTTTCGCACCTTTTCGTTGTTTAGGGGCCGTCCGTAAAGATCGATGTTTTTTTAGAGACGATATTGGTGCGTCTGGGGGGGAGGGGGTTTGAGCCATGTGCGTCTTTTCGAGCATCAGAAAAATATCGATGTAAATATCTGAAGTTTCGCCGATCCCTGCACGCGGACGTCTAAATGGCTATACAAGAAATGTGAAACCAGCTTCCGTTCGCGGAGCTAAAACTCGCGACACAAGAACAAAATCAAAAAGTGGAAGCTGTACGCCCATGGCGAATTTCAAGAGCAAAAGAATGAGCTATTGATTGTGGAAATCGGCCGAACGATGCCTGCGGGAGACCTTTTTCAAGACGTAGAGGCAGTGCGAACAAACACGGACGAACTCCACAAGAGTTTCCAGTCTTCACTGTCTGAACAAGGATTCGAAAAAATTCAAGCCCGAGCGTAGCCGCTTTGGCTACACCAGTACACGATGGCTGAGCACTGCAGCGCCAACCCGGTTCGCTCCCCCCAGGCGATGCAGCTATTGCGTGAGTGCGGCGGGATTTTCACGCCTACACCGGACCCTCAAAATCCTGGGCACTTCATGAGCATCCAAAAATATTGATTCCATGATCTAGATGTACATGTGCGTCTTCTGGGGGGAGGGAGGGGGGTCAAGGGAGAGAAGCACCAATATCGTCTCTAAAAAAACATCGATATTTACGGACGGCCCCTTAGGAAGAAATCGCAACCTTCGCAACTTTCTTCATTTTCGCGAACTATTTCGCAACCGTTTTCCGCAATCTTAGCACAATTGGCATGGGGTCAAAAGGTCAAGTCACCGACTCGCCGACTATATCAGTATATGTCGGACAAATGCATACTCGTACTCGCTCATTTCTCGTCTGCTTTCAGACTGATTTCAGAGAAACAGTAGATCAACGGTAGTTGTGATAATGTGCACTGAAGTAATAGTTCCCTTTTCCTTGCACTGGAATGATGTACATGTACATGTACTCAGATGATGTAGGATACATGCAACAGGCTACTGGCACTGTGTAAAGTGGTGGTTCACAGCAGGAAGGGTTGTAGATCTACGAGTTTGCTGTCGATGCATTTCTGCTAATGCGCGCCTACTTTGGTGGTTTTTGCACAACAACTCTCCAACTTTAGGTTGCGATATTAGCAACTTTTGAGCTTTTTCTGAAAATATAGATGCGATTTCAGCAACTAGCACTTGTTTTGGCACGGTGCGGTTGCGAAAAATTATGGCATCTTTGGGAAAGGGCTAGTCACGACTCGAGGCCTCCAGGACAATGTCATCAGCGAACTCTTGGTGAACTATGCTACTAGGAAGGATTTCGTTGAGTTGACGAGTGTACAATATGAAGAGAAGTGGACTAAGCACACTACCCTGGGGAACACCTCGGGGACAAGGCACATGTACTGGTTTGGACAATGTGCCTCCTATACGAACTTGCTGGTAACGACCAGACAGGTAGCTCGTGACTATTCCAAGGCTTTACCAGATAGGCCAGCAGAATACAGTTCGGACAATAACTGATCATGGCGTATGCGGTCAAATGCCTTCGCGCGACATATCCACGAGGGCAATGCCAGTTACTTTGTGATTTGATCGGTTCTTGAGCCAGCGATTAGTAGCGAGACTCACAGTGACCATATTCCGTTGAATGATATTTTCGATATGCAAATTGTGTACTAGGGATAGCTCGGCAGGTATCAAGGTAAGCCGTAAGTTGCTGTTTGATGATTTTCTCCAGCAATCGTGAAACTATGGGCAAGAGGGACACTGGTCTATAATTACCACAGACAGTTGGATCGCCTCCTTTAAAGAGAGGACTGACGTGAGAAAGCTGGAACAATGATGAAACACACCCAGTGGCCAGTGATCTGTTTTAAAAGATCAAAGTCAATGTAGGCGCCAGTTCATGTGTACAGTCACGCAGCACAATGCCTGGGATTGCATCACTACCTGTTGCTTTATGGGGGTTCACACATTCTAGGAGCTTGCAGACATCACCAATAGTGACGGACTGGAAACGCATGAAGGCGTCTGGCGTATGAGGGCCCTCAGGAACCATTAGCTGTGATGGCCTGCGTGCATCATGAACAATGTCCCCAAAGAATTCGCTTACTTCCTCAACTGACACCTTTGGTTGCTGCTAGGTGCACGCCTACTGGTGACGGTGTTCATGACTTGCCACAGCTTGCGCTGGTCAGAAGCAGCACATTTCCAGACAAAGAATTCATTTTTGAGGTGTCTGTCGAGTCGGCGAGCTTGTGCACGAGCAATCTGCTGATGCTGCCTCAAGTCGTCATTGCCTGGGTCTCGGATCAAGCGCTGATGCAGACGGTTTCGCTCACGGACAATGCCAACAAGTTCACCTGTCTACCATGGACATGCACGTCTTTTCTTTCTTGTTCTGGATACAACTGGTGCATGTTTGTCAATAACAGCAGTGATAGTGCTATGCCAGGCAGGAGCAGAGGTGTCAAAATCTTCGAAGAGATTAACCCATATTAACATTTTGTGTACCTAACTTCATGTCGAAATCCATTCTAACAATCCGCATACACTGTATCTCTCTCCCCTCTCTGTCTCTCTCTGTCTCTGTCTGTCTCTGTCTCTGTCTCTCTCGTCTCTGGTCTCTCTCTCTCTCTCTCTCTCTCTCTCTCTCTTCTCTCTCTTCTCTCTCTCTCTCTCTCTCTCTCTCTCTCTCTCTCTCTCTCTCTCTCTCTCTCTCTCTCTCTCTCTCTCTCTCTCTCTCTCTCTCTCCTCTCTCTCTCTCTCTCTCTCTCTCTCTCTCTCTCTCTCTCTCTCTCTCTCTCTCTCTCTCTCTCTCTCTCTCTCTCTCTCTCTCTCTCTCTCTCTCTCTCTCTCTCTCCCTCTCTCTCCTCTCTCTCTCTCTCTCTCTCTCTCTCTCTCTCTCCTCTCTCTCTCTCTCTCTCTCTCTCTCTCTCTCTCTCTCTCTCTCTCTCTCTCTCTCTCTCTCTCTCACTCTCTCCCTCTCTCTATTGTTGTTGTTGTTGCCGTTGCGGTTGGTCATTTTGTGACAGCTTAGTAAAGCCGTCTCTCTCCTCTTTCCCTTTCTCTCTCTCTCTCTAGCCATTGGCGGACTATGCTCGGCCAATCGTCAAATTATGCTTTTTGATTATGCCACAATTATGCCAACAAATATGCTGAATTATGCTGAATTATGCTCGGTTCCACTATGTATTCACGCTGTACATAGAGGATTGAGAACCACGCATACATACACGGCCATGCCCTTGGCATAATTTTTGTCTAAACCGAAAGATTATGCCGACCTTACACGTTGGAATCCGTCTATTATGCCGGAGCATAATGTTTTGACGAAATCCCAAGATTATGCCCAATATTATGCTGGCATAATCCGCCAAGGGCTATGACAAGGAGTCGTAACTGGGATTAAAAAAAAACATCTGCAGGCTTTCTGACATAGCTGTATTATGCCCCTAAGCATAATTTTGTCTAAACCGAAAGATTATGCCGACCTTACACGTTGGAATCCGTATATGCCGGAGCATAATTTTTTGACGAAATCCCAAGATTATGCCAAATATTATGCCGGCATAATCCGCCAAGGGCTCTCTCTCGCTCTCTCTCTCTC